AAAAAAAAAAAAAAAAAAAAAAAAAAAAAAAAAAAATGCTGGGCATAGTGGCAGGCACCTGTAGTCCCAGCTACTCGGGAGGCTGATGCAGGAGAATTGCTTGGACCCGGGAGGCAGAGGTTGCAGTGAGCCGAGATCGTGCCACTGCGCTCCAGCCTGGGTGACAGAGTGAGACTCTGTCTCAAAAAAAAAAAAGGGGGGGGGCATCACTGACATTAAGGAATTACTGTAAATTTTTAAAAGCATGAAACATTGTAATTTTGTTTCAAAATGCCCTTCATTTTTATTTTTTATTTATTTTTGACACAGACTCTCACTCTTGCCTAGGCTGGAGTATAGTGGAATGGTCTCGGCTCACTGCAACCTCCGCCTCCTGGGTTCAAGCAGTTCCCCTGCCTCAGACCCCCCGAGTACTTGGAATTACAGGCACCCGACACCAAACCCGACTAATTTTTTGTATTTTTACAAAATATAAGAGACGGGGTTTCACTATGTTGGTCAGGCTGGTCTCAAACTCCTGACCTCAAGGGATCCACCGGCCTTGGCCTCCCAATGTGCTGAGATTACAGGTGTGAGCCACCGCTCGCGGCCCCCTTAACCTTTAGAATAGTGGTGGTTCTCAATGGTGGGGGGTGGGGGAGGGTGGTTCTGTTCCCACGGGACACTGGGCGATGTCTGGGGATGTCTGGGGTCCTCATGACTGGGAGAGCCCCTGGCATGGAGTGGGTGGAGGCCAGGATGCTGCTCAGCACCCTGCAATGCCCCGGACGGCCCCAACGTCCATAGTGCCACAGAGGAAAGACCCTTGTTTTGAGATAGGAACTGAAATATTTACAACCCTCGTGTTTAATTCCTGAAGCAGATTTCCTCTGTAATCAGGGAAAAAAAAAAAAAAAAAAGCAATGAAATGGAGAAACGGCACTCCCCGGCGCATTCCCAAGCCCACGCAGCACCTCACACACAGCAGGGAGCAGTGTCCCTGTGGGGCCCTTCGCTGAGGTCACTGCTGCAGGGAGCGAGAGAGGGGTCGAGATGGGGACAGTCTCCTGCCAAGCTCAGTACGACCTGGGGCCACCCACCTGCAGGCCGGGCATGGTGCCACTCAAAGGGGAACGTGATGAATCCAGGGCCACCCAGCAGGTCTGAGGCTCCCCCAGGGGCCCTCCCCACAGCCTTTTTTGGAAATATATTCTATCAATTCTGAAAGTCAAATGCAGATGCTACTTCTTCTTTTTTTTTTTGAGATGGAGTTTCACTCTTGTTGCCCAGGCTGGAGGGCAGTGGTGCGATCTTGGCTCACTGCAACCTACACCTCCTGGGTTCAAGCAATTCTCCTGCTTCAGCCACCAGAGTAGCTGGGACTACAGGCGCGCACCACCATGCCCAGCTAATTTTTTATTTTTTAGTAGAGACGGGGTTTCACCATGTTGGCCAGGATGGTCTCAATCTCTTGACCTTGTGATCCACCCACCTCAGCCTCCCAAAGTGCTGGGATTACAGGCGTAAGCCACCGCGCCCAGTCTGGATGTCATTTCTTTGTGACAAAATTGCAACCTTAACAAATCAAACTCAAGTCCCAGGGGCCGCCACCTCCTGTCCCTGGGTCCCTCTGTTTCTGGGAAGTGACAGGGCTGCCTAGTTTTTTCCCATCCATTTCCTACGCTCACTTTCCTGGAGAGAATAACGGACACACAGCGGCGTCCCCAAGTCCCCTCCTGGCCATGTGCCTGTATGCATTGCTTTGTCTGTGTAGACGGAGCCAACTCTTTGCTTTTTATGGAAAGAGGGATGAAGCAGAGCCGGCATTTGTGGATGGGAGAGAAGACATGACCGAAACAGACACCAGGTCCCGTGTCGGGAGTGGAGGAAGTGCAGGCACGCTGGGGCAGGTGGAGGGCCACGGGATGTGCCTTGGCGTGGCCAGACCTGGGAGGAGAGATCAGTGGGGAGAATCTGGAGAGGCCCCAGGGATCCCAGAGGAAGGGAGTGTGGGAGAGAGAGGACTGAAAACAGCAGAGAAAACACAGGGCAAGTGCATCACCCACATTTAAAAGCAAAGTGAGCCGGTCGGGCGTGGTGGCTCACGCCTGTAATCCCAGCACTTTGGGAGGCTGAGATGGGCGGATCACCTGAGATCAGGGGTTCGAGACCAGCCTGGCCAGCGTGGTGAAACCTCGTCTCTACTAAAAATACAAAAATTAGCCGGGCATGATGGAGCATGCCTATAATCCCAGCTACTCGGGAGGCTGAGGCAGGAGAATCGCCTGAACCCTGGAGGTGGAGGTTGCAGTGAGCCGAGATCAAGCCACTGCATTCCAGCCTGGGCAACGGAGCAAGACTCTGTCTCAAAAAAAAAAAAAATTAAAAAAAATTTTAAGCCCTAAGCAAGCAGGGCACGGTGGCTCATGCCCGTAATCCCAGCACTTTGGGAGGAAGGTCAAGGCAGGCGGATCACCCGAGGTCAGAAGTTTGAGACCCGCCTGACCAAAATGGAGAAACCCCTGTCTCTACCAGGGTGCGGAGGTTGCAGTGAACCAAGATCCAGTCACTGCACTCCAGCCTAGGCAGCAAGATGGAAACTCTGT